CCTTCTGCCCCACACCCCCTTTCTCCCTACACCCTCTCCCCCACCCCCATCCTTCCTACACGCCCACCGCACACCCTTCCGCCCTACACCCCCTTTCTCCCTACACCCTCTCCAATGCCCCCATCCTCCCTACACCCCCCCACCGCACACCCTTCCTCGCTACACCCCTTTCTCCCTACACCCCCTCCCACACACCTTTCCTCCCTACACCCCCTCCCACACACCCTTCCTTCCTACACCCTCTCCTGCACACGCAGAGGAAATGGGAACTTGCTCACCACAGGAAAAGCTGTCTCTTTCCTCCCAGACAATTTGCTCCTGAAGCAAGGGAGAAAGCTGTCCCTGTCTGCATTGCTAATAAAGAGGCAAACAGAACTTGGCCCTGCGTGTTCAACATGGGGACTAGTGTAGCAAGTTACCGGAGTCTCAGAACAGCCATATGGATGTCTTACTCTTAAGACCAACCAAGAAAACATTCTCAAGGGTTTTTTGTTATAACAGTGATAAGGACTCTGTCCACAGAGTCCCATGGTGTCCTTGGCAGGGTGCTGCATTGCTGGGCAGGGCAAAATTTGTGCAGTTCATGGCTCTCTGGTGAATTTTGTTCTCTCCTCCTTTCTGCGGTGGACACACACAATCGTCCAGCCCTTAGGGTCACCTGGGCTTGCTTATTTGACAGCAGATTTTGAGGTTGGTGCTGACTAAATCAGCCAAGCCTCCTGAGAGGTTATGGTGACCCAAGTGCCTGGGTTTCCTGAAGTTATAGTCACACACACACACACACACAGCCCCCCCCCCACCCCACACACACACACACACACACACACACACACACACACACACACACACACACACACACTGGGGAACTGCTACTGCAGCAGGAAAGTCAGAGCTCAAAGCAGGAACTCGGCTGCACACAACTTCCTGGGAAAAACACAGTGAATTCCAACCGCAGCGGGGGCTAAGAGCATGCTCCCTTCCCAGAAGTGCCCTGCTCTCATCTATTCTGTTCCGAAATTAGCATGGGAAAGATGCCCATTACCTGCTACCAGATAATGACTATGATTAGGCGGATCGCTACTGCCAGCCGAGATCTAAAGAGTTTGGTGCACTCCAGCAGAGTTTGCAGTTGCAAAAAACAATAGCAATAAAGGGTAAATAAATGACTAAAGAAAACAGTGTTGTCCACCAGGAGAGGATGCAGGCAGAAACAGCTCTAAAGTCATTTATAGAGCCATTTGCTGCTAGTGGGCAGAGCCCAGGGAGGAGTGAAACAAAGTAAGTGGATGCAAACTGCCCCAAACCTTTGTCCAGAATATGAACCTGAACTTTACTCCAGTGAATCCAAAAATCTAAATAGCCTCAGCCTCCCCCCTTCCCGCCTCCCCCCCCGTTTTTAAAAGCCATTTACAAATGTGCACTCCCTGGCTCTGGAGATGGGCAATGCCATCAGGACAGCCTAACCCCAGCAGGAGGAACGGCTGTCTCAGGAGAGAGCCAGCTCTCCTGGGTTCTCCAGCTCAGCTTTGGGGACAGCACGTGGGCGAAGCAGGGCCCACGGGGCCAGAAGCACTGTGTCACTCTGCTGCAAGTACGGAAGGCGCTGTCAGGAGAGAGGTGCTCAGGTCCAACTGAATCCGAATGTGAATCGGGCACCGATGCCTTTATTCTTTATTCTGAATATCCCAGCTGATCTGAGCAGCATCAGGCAGACAGGCTGCCGGTCCCGGCAACAGTTGCCGATTCCCTGCCTTTTGCTTCCAGTTGGCAAGTGCGCTCCATGCCTCCAGGTTAGAACGGCTCCCCCAACAACAGAGCATTGGCACCTCATCTCCCTTCCTTCCTGGGCCGGCTGCGGCCTTTCCTGAGGCTTCAGGGAGCGGGAAGGGTGCAGGGAGATAATGAAAACAGCAGCCGGAAGCATTGCTCTACCTCCTCCCATGAGGCATCAGCTCAGCTTCTTATTATCTGCGCTGCCAGGACCCAACACGCTCCTTGCTTCATCAGGGAGACATGAGCCGGACACGCCGGTTCTTGCGAGTGCTCCCAGCCAGAGCAGTAGTTGGGCCTGTGGGACGAGGTATTTGGTTCGTCGGCGCCTTTGAGTCTCCGGGAGTGGTTTTTTGTCCCTGTTACAGCATCCATCTGAGCAGCCTTAGAGTCACCGGCTTTGGGCCTCCCTTAGCGCTTTCTGGGTTCTTCAGCCCTCACTTGGCTGCATTCCCCATCCCGAGGCACCAGGAATACAAATACCGCCAGGAGTTGGGACCTACCAAGCACCCCCACTCCAAGCTCGGCCAGGAGCCAGGTTTGAAAACACCCAGCCCTACCCTCCCAAAGGCCCATTCACTCAACCCTGCATGCCCCCTGTCAGTACCTCCAGTAGGTGTTGACCCAGCTCAGGGTGTAGGAGCTGCTGGCATTGAAAAGTGGTTTATGCAGGAAGAGCTGCGGCTTGCGCAGGTCCTTGAAGCTATGGAACAGCCGGAACCCTCTCTCCTCCAGTGCCTTCAGCAGGCTGTACCAGTACCGCACCACAGCTGCCTCGCTCCCGCTGACCTCAAAGCCGGGCCAGTGGAGGTGGAGGGCGAGGATCAGCTGGTGCACTGTGGCCACGGTGCCGTCCACAAGGATGCTCTCCAAAATCTTCCACTCGGCACTGGCCCAGTCCGCCTCCAACACGTCGATCTACTCCAGAGAAAAAGAACAAGCAAACTCAACTCCTCTAGTGAGCGCTGCCCCGGGACTGAGGCCGCCACGGGACGGGGCTAGGCTAGGGCTGGCCAATACGTCTGAAAACGAAACACCTGGACATGCCTGGGAGGGGTGAAAAAACGAGCCTGGCTGCTCTGAGCCAAGCGCTGCCAACATCCTGGTTCAAGGCTGTTTCCGAGAGCCAAGGGGTTAGCAGGCTGGAGAACGGGTCTGTGTGCAGCCAGAGGCCTGAGCCAAAGCTCCTATTGTCTTCCGCTCAGCCCCAGCGTGCAGTTGTTCTGAGAGGCCCCCCAGCGGCGGGTTAGCAAAGGGATGGATTAGAGCAGAGAGGCTCAGCCTTCTTCATACGGCCCTTCAAAGCAAATTCTGCTCATGGACGCCTCCCCTCCCAGGCTCCCAGCTGGACCCTTCCCTGTCCTGATGGCAGCCGGAGAGCCCAGGACTGCCACAGCAAAATGAAAAGATGGAAGTAAATTCAGCTAAATGTGGCAGAGGTGGACTTGTTGGTAACACCCCCCTATTTTATCTCCGTGCTGTGGATTTCTGCTCCCTGGGATCAAGCTACATGGATCTTTGGTCTGACCCAGTATGGCTGTTCTTGTGTTCTCAGCATTTACTAGGCACAAAGGATCAGATCCACAAAGGAATTTAGGCTCTTCACTTCCAGCCCTGTTGCTGGAATGTTCAGAGGAACTGGGCTCCCAAATTCCATGAAAATTCAGGGGGCATTGGGCACCTGGTTCTTTGAAAAGTCTAGCTCTAAGCTCTCCTCAGGTCACCTTGTACATCAATTCTATCCTCTTGCATATTTGCATCCCTTCCCGTTTTGGTACCTTCCTCAGAATGGCTTGTGGATGGGTTTACACCAAGGAAGACATGAAGTAGTCACTTGAGGTGCAGAGAGGGGACTGGATTTTATCCATGGAGAGCTCTTTGAAACCCTCCGGATTATAGGCGACCCCCGATTTACGACCACCCGACTTACGACCCCCTGCATGTACGACGGCGTATGATGCAGACTCTATGCATCAGTACCAGTGCCAGCCAGCAGTGGGCGGTGTGAACTGGCACCCCGTCAGGCTGGGGCCTTGCCCGGGCCCTGATCAGCACCACTGCAGGCCTGGGACATTTGCACGGCCAGTCCCTAGCAACCGCCCTGCTCCGGCCCAGTGTGGCCTTGGCACGCTGGAGACTACAACTCCCAGGAGGCAAAGTGGGCGGCTGTTTCTCCCACCGCATGGCCTCATGGGAATCGCAGTGGGCGGGGCTGGGAGCTGTGGCTGACTCTGTTACAGTAGCGCCCCGCCTGGTTGTATTTTTAGGGTATGAAATGGGTTTCCAGGAATGGAACCTCCATTTATAACATTGTGCCTATGGGAAATAAGGGTTCGACTTACGACAGCTCGACTTACGATGGTTCTCCAGGGACCAATTAGGTCATAAGTGAGGGGGTAGCCTCTACACAGTCCAATAGGGTGTCTCGGTCTAAGACATCTAATGGGCGGATGGTGATGGGGGGCATGCGGGAATGGAGGGGCTGTGTTATCAGATGCCATTACCTTCTTGTGGCCAAAATCCCGCATAATCTGATTTAACCTCTTGGAAGGGCTCCTCCATCTCTGCGAGGAGGCAGCTGGGCGTTGCTCGTGCCAGTCCAGCCACAACGGATGATGCTGCACCTGTCCTTTATGCCAGTCTGTCTGCGTGTAGGGGGTCTGGCCAAAGCTGTGCACCTGGCACCTCATTTCGCTCATCCGCTGGCTGAACTCGAGGCTCCTTTTGACCATGCTACAAAAGAAGGACGGGAGAGAAGCACTCCGCAAAGTTAGGCTGACCTGCAGCATACACGGCTGCAAGGCAAAGCAAGATGGGTAATGTTATGCAAACGGATGCAAAGGCACTCGGTCTGACTTTGCTCCCAGCCCTGTAGTTGCAGTTCCAAGTGGGCGTGTCTTCTTTACCCTTTGTTTTGCTCTTCAGATGCAACGTGTCACTGCACATTGCAAATGGGGTAGCTAAAGGGACTTGCAAAGGGGACAAATCTGAAGAAGCAAAAGGATTTGCGGCAGACAGCAAATCTTACAGGCTTTCCACAACTTTTGCCCTGGTCGGCACATGCTGGTGTGAAATCGTGTACAGCAGTGATTCCCAGAAACCATACCAGTTTAGCAAGTTAAGTTCTTAACTGAACCAGTCAGTGCCTACTGTGCACAGGATCACAGAACACTAGAACTGGAAGGGACATCAAGAGGTCATCAGGTCCAGGCCTCAGAACTCATGGCAGGACCAACCACCATCCAGATCAGGGGCGGACAATAAAATGGCAGCAGTTCACCACGGTTAGCCCTGGTGGATTGCTGCCACTATATGTACCTGCACTTCCACAGGTATAGGTGATGGCAGCTCCCATTGTCAGGGAATGGTGATCTGCGGCCAATAGGAGCTGTGATACCCCATACCTGTGGACGCACAGGTAAATATGGTGATGTGGGTGCCCGCCAGGGGCTAAATCTGGCAGACAGGATCTGGCCCGTGGACTGGTATTTGCCCGCCCCTGATCTAAGTCTTCCCTGAGAGATGTTTAACTAACCTGCTCTTAAATATCTCCAATGACAGAGATTCCACAATCTCCCTAAGCAATTTATTCCAGTTAGGAAGTTTTTCCTAACGTCCAACCTAAACCTGCCCTGCTGCAATTTAAACCCATTGTTTCTTGTCCTGTCATCAGAGGTCAAAGAGAATGGTTTTTTTTTTCCTGTTCATCTTGTTACTTTTAGGTACTTGAAAGCTGCTTCCATGTCCCCTCTCAGTCTTCTCTTTTCCAAACTAAACAAGCCCAATTCTTTCAGTCTTCCCTCACAGGTCATGTTTCTAGACCTTTAATCATTTTGTTGCTCTTCTCTGGCCCTTATCCAATTCCTCCACAACTTTCCTGAAATGTGGTGCCCAGAACTGGACACAAGACTCCAATTGAGGCCTAATCAGCACAGAGTTGAGCGGAAGAATAATTTCTTGTATCCTGCTTACAACACTCCTGTTACTGCATCCCATAATGTTTGAGGGTTGGGGTTTTTTTTTTTTTTGGCAACAGTGTCACACTGTTGACTCATATTTAGCTTGTGGCCTACTATGACCCCGAGATCCCTTTCTGCAGTACACCTATCTAGACAGTCACTTCCCATTTTGTAAATGTGAAACTGACTGTTCCTCCCTAAGTGGAGTACTTTGAGTACTCTGCATTTGTCCTTACTGAACTTCATCCCATTTACTCAGACCATTTCAGATCATTTTGAATTATGACCCTATCCTCCACGCAACCCCTCCCAGCTTGGTTTCATCCTCAGACTTTATAAATGTACTCTCTGTGCCATTATCTAAATCACAGGTGAAGACATTGAAGAGAAACTGATCCCTGTGGACCCCCACTTGTTATGCCCTTCCAGCAAAGCTGGCTCCCTGTGGAGGCTGACAGGGCTACCGCCTGGGGTGCCCCGTTGTAGGGGGCGCTGCGAGGGGCTGATGGACCAGAGAAAGGGAAAGCAGGTTACATCAGAGTACCTGGCCCAGTTAAGGGTGGGAAGGGAGGTCCAGAGCACTGTTTGTACCAGCATGGCACCCCGTCACTGTGTTGTGCGCTGCTGTGGATTCAAAGCCTCTGTTTTACAGGTCTCAGGTTCAGATACCAGCTCAAACACTATCCCAGCAGGCCTGGGAACTCCAAGTCAGCAACAGTCGTTGGTCACAGCTACTCAGGTGGACACGGACTAGAGCAGCTTCTTCCTCATCTGCAGCTGCAACCTGCCCAAGCTACTCAAGTTAGATGGGAATGAAGCCTGGAGACAAGGAGTTCCACGCAGGCCTTTGGGGCATGGTGACAGTGTTGGCTCCAGGCCCTGTGGCTAGTCATGACTCAGGCTGCCAGAATGCACCCAAGAGCCAAGCGGATGGTGTTCACCGCAGCATCTGACTCATGTGCACATAACAGACTTGCAGACAGGGAAGTGGACAGCTCCCAGGACTGGTGATGACTCATGGGGCTATTAACCTCTTGGTGGCCAGTCCCAGGTAACTAGCAGCTGAAAAGTCACTATCTTCAGGCTGGGCACTGGCCTGTGTGAAATGGGATGCTCGCTGATCCTTTTCCATGTGTACCGTGGGAGCTGCTCCTTCCTCTGATGGATCTGGTTCTGGCCACTACTGGAGATGGGATGCTTATTTAGTGCAGGTCTGATCTGGCCTGGCAAATCCCGGTAGAGAAGTTTCCAGCACACACAATATCCCCACCACAATCAGCCCTTCTGTTGGCTGTGTGAACCAGGCCAGGGCTGAGCAGGCCAATGAAGCCGAATTAGTCTCCCACGCCTGCAGAGGAGTCCAGCCGGAGCTGGGATGAGCACATTTGGTGGGTACAATGTACAGAAAAGCTTGCCTGGCAGCCAGCTGTGCCATCACTGTTCTTTGACGCCCGGGGCCTTTGCTTGGTTCAGGCTCATAAAACTGTTGCCATAACCAACACCTAGGTCTAGAAAAGCAGCCTAAGACAGAAGGTTCGCTCAGGAGGCCTCTGTCCCGAGGGACCCAGGACAGCGAGGGAAGATTTATATCTTCTGGAAGGTTTTCCCCTGCCTAGACCTCCTTCCTGTCCTACCTCTGTACCGCCTCAGGCTTCCTGAGGCCCTCCACAGGTGAGCAGGGTCACAGAGCAGAGCCGATTGGGAAAACAGCCTGAGACCCCTTTCTGAACATTTCTGTAGCTTTTTTCAGAACTTGGATGAAATTTTTCAAACACTGAAAAGCGTCAGACGGGAAAAAACAAACAGGGGTGGGGGGGGTTGGATGAAATGTGAATTCTCCACAAAAAAATGTCAAAATGAAAAACTCCAAATCCAAACTATGGTGACCAGCCCTCCAGTGGAGTAAGTATCAGTCCTGCCCCCAGACTGATCCTTCCTCAGCCGCCCTTCCCGTCTCTGTCTCTCCACCCCTGGGAAGCCCATCCACAGTGCTCACCTGAAGGTATAAACCAGGCACTTCTCCTGCGGCAGCTTCAGCCAAGCAGCAGGCATGTGATCTAGGCACACGCCCCACGCCCCGGCAGGGCTGGCTGCGAACGTCTGGACCCCCACTCGACTCAGAGCTCTGGAGCAAGGCAGCTGCAGAGGAAGGGAGAACAAAACCAGCCCCTTTGCTGCAGGATTGGATTGAGTTTGTCACCAGGGAGTTGGGAGGCATTTGGCCCTCGGAAGCTTTGTTTTCCCGTCATCCCGATCACAACTCAGCTGCCATCCCCTGCTTGGGCTGGTGGCAGCCACTGCTCATCAGCCAG